TTTTGAAGAGGGAGATAAAAATTCTTAATTAGTGAAATAAATAAGCAATCAAAATGCTTCATAGAATATTTCCTTACAACAACTCTCAGGAAGCCCAGTTTTATTTCTGATAGTGTAGGAGATAGAGGACAGGAGAATAGAAATCTGTCTAAAATTGATTAGCACATTCATGAGTGAGGTGAGCTTTGACGATTTTCTCATTGAAAAAAATTAGCACCAACAATCAAAAACCATAATTATCCATTGAAGTGGATTAATGAATACCCTGGAAGAAACTAGCTTCATAAAGGTAAAGTGAAACAGCACAGGATCACTGCATAGATGAAAACTGAAATTTTACATAAAACTTAATTTGAAAGCTGTTATGCTGCACTTCATTATTAGAAAAAAGGACACTTTCAAGTAACAGGGCTTTCACTATTTATTCAATTATCTTTCTGTTGCATCCATGTAATTACTTGAAACCACTCTAGAGCAATTTCCACTTACATGACTTGCCAACTGCAATCAGAGGTGCTGAGTGCAACTAACTAAATACCATACTTCATAAGCTGCACTGTTTATATAACTGGTAAGAGGAACATCTGTGCTGAAGAAAACCTCCAGAGTTCAGTTCTAGAACTGATAATTTGCACATATTTAATAAATCTATTATTTGCAATTAGAGATTTCAAGTGAAGATTCCTTGGGGTTGGTAACATCCAGAAGTGGTAAACTGGACCTGCTTTTATGCACTAGTTCTTCTAGTTTAGCAGTCGGATATTTACAATTTTCCAGAAATTGTTGGATCTCAGTTCCCAGCAGCTCTGTGCAGCAGGCCAATGGGGATTGATGGGTTCAACTGTTCTGCACTATTATTCATATACTGTTCTTGGGTTCAGAGAGATTCACAAAAATGTAGAACAGTCTTTCAGAAAAGTGATTTGATAAAATAAATCAACAAAAAAAACCCAGCAAATTGTCATGCCAACAATACTATAACACTAAGGGCACAAGTTGTTCCCTCCCCCCATTCATGTTAGAAAAGTTTATGTGCTTACATATTATAAAAACATGATCTCAACACATAGTAAATAACACGTTTCCTTTTAAGCATGATCATTTGGTCCTAATTAAACTGTAGATCACATCCACTTTTGAGTATTCTATCTCTTTCTGTCTCATACATTCAACTTGTAGGAATGCAGCTATTTGTCCAAGCATACTTACAAGCTGCTGACAAATTTGCTTTCGATTTATCATAATCAAAAACTGAACAATTTCAACTGTGTTACAGTTCTGTTCCTATGGAATCATTGCTAAGAGTTTGGCATGCTTCTAAGGCAGGGTTCACGCATTGTGCAAAACATTTTTTTTTTAATTGTTGTTCAACAAGCTATCATGGTTCAATAAATTTAAATTATGGTTTACAAATAAAAATGGCTTTGAAACCCAAACAAACCATGTTATGGTTTAGTGAACCAATAATACACTGTAAATATGTAACATTTAGTATTCCATATATTACAATTCCTAAATAGGAAAGCAGACATGATATAAAATGAAACAAATTGCTTTTTCACTTATATATTCACACAATTAATGTAAAGTACAAAACTGAGGATAGGAAGAGAAAAGTTTCTTTTTAATATCCTAAGTGTTATCCAATTAGTAGGTGTCAGATAAAAAGCT